GAAGGGTGCATGCTGCTTATTTTTTCCATCAAGTCCCAAGCTTTATCAAAATAACGCATCCTGGCAAGGATGTGCAGTGTCTTTTCAAAAGCATCGTAGCTTGGACATAACTGGGAATGATGGAGGGAATAATTGAAGAATTCAAGGGCTTTAAGACCATTAGAATGGGCTGCGAAAAGGTAACCCAAAACATTCTCCACAAAGCTGGTGGAAAGAGCATGGGGTGGGATGTGCTGGAGAAGAGTTGGTAGAAGTGGTTGATCAGGATACGGATGGTTATTAATTATTCTGGTGATCCTGTCAACTTCAATATTAGTTTCTGAAGACGGTAGAAATTGGCTGGATATTTTAAGAGCATGAATGACAGAAAAATTTAGCTTTGGAGGAATTTGAGTAAGTTGATTGGATCTCTTTAATCTTGTCAAAAGGAGCATTCTCTCCTTGGTTGCACTTAGTAATAAATGAAACTCCGTACACAATTTGGAATTTCCATTTTGCAATGCCTAACTGATGTCAACACCCTGGATATCCAAGCAAACAAAAGTTAAAAGTCCATTAATTCAAAAAACAAAATAGTAATTAGATTCATGATTCGTCACAAATAAACCCAGTCCACATTAATGTACATGTAACACATTGTGAGAAACCAGACAGCGTCTAGCTCATCAGACACCACAATAACTGCTCCAAATTCAATTCAACAAAATACACGCCACGCATTATAAACAAACCAAACCCACCCAAGCACCCACCTCAATCACTGGCAAGCTGCTATCATACTTCACATATTGTCAAAAGAAAACAAAGAAAGCAACTCAGACTGAACCCAGGCTCAGATAAGTTATAAACATTTCTACTTCTTTCCTAAAATACATATCTACTCTTCTCTTTAGGACTAATGTAAATAATCACCACGGTCACAATACATCATGCATATGCAGGCACAACAAATATTTTATGCAAAAGTGTTGGTTCCTGAACATAGTTGCCTAATTCGCTCACCCCCCTACGAATTTCGATCTGGATCGAGCGTACCCAATCGCGGTACGGTATCGATCTGAAACGAAAGATTTAACGACTCAGTTCCAGAGGCGAGAACAGTACCTGATAGAGGACGTCGCTGCTACAGAACAGTAACTGACCGCCGACAGCAGACGAGCAATCGAGGGCACATGAGAGACTAGGGAGAGTGCTATAGCCGATGAGCCCACGTTTGATTCTTGGTCTCTTGGTAAGGGGAAGGAAGATATTGGGTTCGGAGAGGATTTTTTTGGACGAATGGATTCCTAGAGCCCAGCCCAGGCAAAAGCCCCCTCGGTCTCCCAAGTCAGCTGCAGCAGTGACATCCAGCCCGGGCAAGAGCTGGCAAGGCCCAAGGCAAGATAGCCCGAGCTGTTGTCTGAAAGCACCGATGCCCACAAAGAAAAAAAAATCAATAAAAATTCTTTAAAATTACCAAAAAATTCATATTTTTAAAAACAAATACATACCTAGAAAAATTTTATTTATTAATCTCATATATATAAGCTCATGTGAACAGTAAGTGCTCTTTTTTTTTTTTTTTGGTAAAAGGAGGGCTAAAAGCCCAAAACAAACAAACTACAAACCAAAAGAGCGGGGCCTTACAGCACCCCTAGCATCAGCAGCAAGAATATTTTCCAGGAAAACTGGAACCTCATCGTAGACATGAAGACCAGGTTCAAGATTGTGACTTCTGGTAGCCAAGGCATCAGCAGCTACGTTTTGTTCACGGTATATATGTTTAAAAGCACAACACCAGGAATCATGGATCTTCATTTTGCAGCAGGAAATGACGCTGTAAAGAGGGTGAGTTAGAGCTGTAGGAGAGGAAAGAAGAGTTACAGCAGCACTAGAGTCGCATTCAATCTCCACATCACGGTAACCAGCGTCCCAAGCCAATCTAAGCCCCCAAAAGAGACCCCATAGCTCAGCCTCAATGATGGTACAAGCACCCAGATTTACAGAAAAGCCTTGTATCCAAGCACCAGAGGCATCACGCAAAAGACCTCCAGCACCACCAGAACCAGTAGCATTGTTCCTACTTCCATCAGTGTTAATTTTGTAAACACCAGGTCTGGGTGTTTTCCAATGAAGTTGAACCACAAAGTGCTCCTGGGTGCCAATAAAAGGATTACAAGCACTGTACCAATCCAAAGCATATTGGTAAACCATGTGTAGAGGCTCAGAAGGCATAATAAAGCCTTGCTCAAAAATCAGCTTGCACCTCCATTTCCAGATAAACCATAAATAAATTGAAAATACTAGGAACCAAGGAAGGCCATGGTGAGTAGGCTTTTTTGATTGAAGATTCAGAGCGAGCCAATCATCAAACTCCATAGAGTGATGACTAGAAGTGGGACCGCCACCACCAAATCTATTCCAGAGGGATTGAGTAACTTGACAGTCTTGAAATAAGTGTTCAACCGACTCCGCAGACTGAGTACATCTTGGACAAACATCGACATGAGTGAACCCTCTTTTTTGCCGTTGAGCATTGGTAAGGATCTTTTTATGGCAAAGGGTCCAGAGGAAAGTTTTCACCTTAGGGGGGATGTGCAAATTCCAGAGGAAATGCCATTTCCATTTGTGGTTGATTTCTTCCCCAAATGAGGAGCTGTAGGCACTTTTGACAGAGAACGAGCCATTAGAAGTAAATTGCCAAATTCGCTTGTCAGCTCCACTACCATTAAAACCAGCATGAATACCAGTAATCAGCTTAACAATATTTTCAGGAAGGCAGTCCAATAAGCACGTGGTATCCCAAATCCCATCATCCAAATAGTCACTAACCTTGGATTGTAAAATTTCCTCAGAGAGATCAATGGTAGCAAATTGTTGCAGAGTGCCACAACTGAGCCAAGTGTCAGTCCAGTGTAAGTGCTCTTGAGTTGCCATGATAATTGGTGGAAAAGTACAAAAACAATTGCTATAGCAGATATTATTCATGTGAACAGTAACCACCCTTATTTTCCCTTACTCTTTGCCATGACAAATGGATGGAAGTGCCCTAAGAGGGAATGTACTAAAGGTTGGGATGGGTGGATGTGTCAATATAATAAAAGTATTTTTTATTTTACTGCACTGCATTGAAATACTATTTTGGTTATTAAAACTAATTTTAAAATAAAATAAAAAATAGTTTAATATCAGAGATGAAAATACAATATAGTTGCAGAAACACAAGTCTGGGTTCATGAACCGAAAAACAAAACCCCCAAAATTTGTTTATAAAAAATTGTAGTTTTCCCAAACTTGGTTCATGAATCATTCAAATCTAACATTTATAAACATAAAACTGATCACAAAGGAATAGGAAAATGACTTGGTTGTGGGTCCTTTAAATTCAATCACGTTAAAGTGTGAAGGGATGGCTCGATGGCTCTGAATTTGGGTCAATAAATTTTCTCTTGTTTATGAAAAAATTGAATCTAAATCAAGAGATCAAATAGATAACCAATAAGAATTAGAGTGAATCTTAAACGACACGTGTTCTTGATTTCCGTATGCAACGCCAGAGTTGAAGGTAGTTGTGAATGACAATGGATGAAGAACATGTTCTTGGTTTTTTGAGAGAGAGCGTCTTTTGGTTGCAGTCATTTTTTCTTTTTTAAAATTTTTGTTTTTGTTTAAGTTAAATTAATATTTTTTACAGTAAAAGTAATAAAATAATGACATATTAATATTTAAATCAGTTTTTTTTCTCAATCCTTAGATTAGATCCAAGGGTGAGTGATCAAAACTTCCTTGGACCCTAGGGTCAGGAGAATGGGATTATTCAATAATTGCTAAGGAAGAAGGAAAGTCACGATTCTTTCAATACATTGAACAAATAAAATACATAACTTATTGAGTAAATAAAAAACCACTTATTCATAAAATAAATAAGTTCATAATTAAAATTTACATGCAAAAACAAAAATTAAAGTTTATTGTTGAAACTTCAAAACAAACAAAACGGAAATTAAAAATACTTGAAATTAAAAATAGCAACTTTAGCCAATTGGTCGTTTTCCTTTGCTTTTGCACTAGTCCTTGTGCTTGAGCTCCCTAAAGAGAAAAAGTGACTAGGCATAGAGGATGGTATGCTTGGCCGTGAACACCTACATAATCACCCTCCAACCCTTTCCATCTCATTTCCTCCAATTTCTGAGCAGAGTCATCTAAAAAGAGGATTCCGGATTAATATTGATCATACAGTTTTGAGCACAAACACATCTAATCATTGTCCACTAGTCCATAAATGGTATATGTTCCAATATAATCATTAGATGTGTAGGATGATTCATCTAATCATTATCCTCTAGTCCATCCATATATGGTACATGTTCCGATATAATGATACCATGCAATCATTAATGTATTTCATATGTGCAATATAAGATGCATTAATATATAAATTGTTGTGAAGTTATACATCGATACATGATACATTAATACATGTATCATTAACATATGTGCAATATGTGATACATTAATAAATGATTTGTTGTTAATTGTACTAATACATCATTCTGAATTAATATAATACATCGTTCCAAATTAATACAATATATTGTTCCAAATATGATACCATTAATCATATTTATGATATGTACATATGTTTGGATTAAACGATTCATTTGACTTTGAAATTGAAATTTAAGATTTTATTTTTTAAAAGGTATTAAATGAAAATATAAACCATTTTCTTTTATAAAAAGTTTAACTTTAGCCAAAATTACTTGAACCCCATTTGAGTCTTGCTGAAAAATGCTACCTATACTTGGTATCAGTATTGAACAATAAAATATGAAATTATTTTTTGGTTTAAATAGTAAATACCAAAGGTTTGGTCATTCAAATAAGTTCAATGAACCAAACATCAAGTACATATAATATAATTGTCTAATGTCATATTTCAATAGTTCACATCATACGGTCTTAGTTTTTATTAATTCTTCCATCTAAATCGCTTACGACTACAAGCAAGCAAGATCGCTTCAACCACTCCCTGGAACTGTAAAACCTGTAATATATAATATAGATGGTTAAACAACATTGGGCAAAAAAAACATATTTATTGTAGTTTTTTTATTTCAATTTTGGTCATTTGACTCATGTAGTTTGATATCCAATGCAATGCAAAGACACGTCCAAATTTCCATCTAATTCCGTTCGAAATACCCTTATGTGTGAGGGACACATGTGCTTATTCCATCACGAAATTGGATATCAACTACATGGGTCAAATCGCCAAAATTGAAACCATGTAAATCAATGTGAAAGATCCGACAAACTAGAAGAATCAATCTTTAGCTAAAACAATTTAAAAAAACACAAAAACAAAGAGAACAGGGAAAGTAAGCCCAATTTATATTTTTGAATTACAACCATGAATAGGAACATGTTTGGATAAATTAATAAGCACACAAATATAAGTAGAGAAATTTAGATTAAAAAATATGAACAATTGTGATAATAATTGAAGTACATATTAGTTCAATTCTATGAGAGTTAGGGATATCTTACTTCCACACTTCATTCCATGAGGAACAGGTATGCCACAGTAGGAGACGACATGAACCACCTTTTTCATGTCAACCAACTCCTCCAGCTCCTTGGTCACGTGCTTGCAGGCACATAGAATGTCCACCTTCTTTATCAAATCACAGCATGCTTGAGATGGATTTGTCATCGGCTTACCCTTTTCCACATAAGTTGAGCATTGCCTTATAAGACCTCCAACGTCACCGCCACATAGCTGCCCTACGGCCACATGGATTTCACCGGAGAACACAACTCCTATGATGGCAAAGACGGCAAAAATCGGGAAGCGAAGATGAAGCATTTCCTTTTCTCTTCCTATTACTTCTATTTTTCTCTGATATTCTCTTTTGGATGTGGATGTTGTGGGGAGGGGTGGTGAGTTACATGGCTTATATAAGGATTTTGAGGGAGGCATTTCATGACACCTTGCATTTTGAAGCTGGAGTTGGCTCCATCTGTGAACAACTTACGTTACAAATTTTGTTTGATTTTGAAGGGGGATTGTATCTTGCATGTGAAGACTTTTTGGTTTTCACATTGTACAAAATGGAAGAGGATCCTCTCTCTTCTTTCTTGCCTCACTTTCTCCATAAAATCTTATCCAATCATTCATTACACAATTAATAACTCAATCAAGAAAAATTGACTATCAGATTCTATTTAAATGTGAAAGAAATTTGAGAAAAAAAGTAAGGACCTGTTTGGGAGTGCTTCTGGAAGGGTCAAAAGCGCTTTCTGATAACTAAAAGCGCTTCTGACAACGTTTGGCATAAAAATTTAGAAGCACTTTTGGGTCATAGAAGCGCTTCCTGGAGAAGCACCTGCTATGTGCTTCTTCAGGAAGCACTCCTAAGTGCTTTTCCACAAAGCACTTTAATTTTTTATGAAAATTCAAATTTGTTATAATAAAAGCGCTTTTGTTAAAAGCGCTTATGAGCAGAAGTAATTCCAGAGAAGCAGTCCCAAACGAGCCCTAAAGAGTTAAGTACAAAGATTCTCATAAGCATAATGCAAGCATAAAATTACAAGGGGAGAGAATCTCATTCGTAAAGACGGTTCAAATACTTGTATATACATATACATACAGTATTTAATGAATAAATGATTAGTAATGACTATTATGTTGCATGAATGGAGCAGATCTATAAATTATAGGCTCAACTCTCTATAAGTGGAGATAAGTTGAAAACTCAAGTCGTATTCAAACTCACACTCCATATGAGGTTATGATCCATATCCAATTATTATTTTGGTTTTATAATAGCCACTAAAATCATTAAGGGCTATGATAATATTAACCACACTTCATAAATATCGACAATTTAAGTGATCGACAATTTAAGTGATTGGCCAAAGTGGGAAGACAATTTCATTTAACATTACCCTTTGACGAAGAAATTGAAAAGTGCATAGAATTCTTAAATGACGCAATTTAGATCTCCATAGTTTAAATTTTTGGCAACTTGTAGTTTCAATGTTTGGGTTTATGTATGTTGAATTTTGTAAATGACATAAATTATGGGGAAAACAAATTCATGCTCACTAGAAATTGCGAAATGATGCATCTTTTAGCATAAAGTAATCTCAATGCCCAATTTCCATGATTTTTTCCTTGCATCATTTAATGAGTTCCCTGTTTAAGTTGCCAAACAATGGAAACATCAATTTCTCCTCTTTAATTCTTGACTTTTAGCTAAATCCTGAGTTATTTCCTCCACCCAAATGGAGGGTTAAGCATTTTAGTCATTCTTGGGTTGTGCGTAGTTCTCTCTAGTTTAATTCAACATGTTGTAGCATTTGGTCACTGGAGAAGATTTATCCATATTCGGCATATAGTTGCTTTTGTACTTTGTTTTATTTATCAGTAAAAATTATTGCTTATTCTTATATAAAAAGAGCAAGAGAGAGAGAGAGAGAGAGAACTGTGAGATATTGAACCTTTATCTCAAATACCATATTATAAGGGCCAGTTTGGTTCAAGGTTTAGGAGCTTAGGAATGGGTTTCAAATTGCATTCTCATATTTGGTAAGTGCACTCTTGGGAATGCAATTTTGGACGCATGGGTATATGGACTTCCCATGTAGGGGGAATTTCATACCCTTGGCTTACCTTGAGCAACTTTTTCCCCTCACTTGGGAAAGCATTTAATGCAATTTTTTGGATTAACTAACCCATGTTATTATTTTTAAATACCACTTTTGCTTAAAAACTCTTCATATTAATAACTTTTAATAATAATAAAAAATCAAGAGTGTTGTTGGAAGACCGAACAACTTTTCATTCCTAATACTGCACAAACCAAATATGAGAATGGGAGAAAATGACATTTTCTAGTCCTCATTTCCCAGCGTTCCCAAACAAGGAAATGAACTTCTTCATTCTCATCTTGTGGGATTAGACATGTGAAGTTTATTCCTAAGAAGTTCAATCTGCGAACCAAACGGGCCCTAAATGTTAACCTAAAGTATTGATATACCCTAGTCATGTAGTTCCTAGCTTGAATTCCTATTGTTTAATTTCAATAGTTAGTTGTCAATGTAAACTTTAGCTGCTTAAGTGGATTGTGATCCATAAATAACATATGACCATCCATATTGCCTATTGACTTTGATCTACTATTGGTTGGGCGGGTAACCTTTTGCATTATGTTTGCTTAATTTGTGTGCATAATTTGGCTGTTTAGAATTGTTTGGCTGGATATGTGTAATTATGTTGTGGACATGTGGTTGTTAACTCTCGATTTCGATCAAGAAATTTCTTATTGTTTCCAACTCTAATTTCATTTGCAGCGATGTTGCTTGCTATTGGAAGGAGTAAAAGACATAGGCATTCTGATAAAGGTGAACAAGTCATGAAAACATGATCGTCGAATATTGATGATATGCATCCTGAGAAAAAAAAAATCAAAATGAAATTTGGTTTGCTTTGGTATTATAAATATACCAAAGGCTCTTTCAACTCCATGCATGCGCTGCTGCACCTGCAGTGCTTGTTTCTTTTTTTCATGTTTTTTTTTGTTAATGCGAGGGCCCAAAGAAAACAACGTCATTTAGCGCTAGGTCTTTAATAAAGCCTCAGCCCCTTTAGTTTGCACAGCCAGACTCCAGTGCCAAAATTAACCCCCAATTCATTATTTCTTCTTCATTTAAACAAACCCCAACTCCCACCACCTAGTGACGGATCTAGAAATTTTTCAGCGGAGGTGCAATATTTAAAAGGATGAAAGCTCTAAAAAAAATTATTTCAAATGCTCTTAATTTAACCAAAATCAATACCAATTAATCTAATCAAAATCAATCTCAATTAATCTAACAAAAATAAATCTCAATTAATCTAACAAAAATTAATCTCAATTAAATAAATGAATCATAATTGATCATACCTCGAGTCGTGCATAGCCTCTTTTTGCTTAAGTTTGCTACTGATCATACAAATACAGAGAGCTAAATCAGAAAAATAAAAATAAAAATAACATTTAGAAAAACTCTAAAGACCATTTAAAGACTACAGTGTGCCCCTTGTAAACTTAAAAGAAAAATCCAAAAAGCCTTAAATTAAATAAATAAATAAATCCAAAGAGCCTTTTGCTACTGAAGAAGAAAAACAAAACCAGACCTTGTTGTTGGGTTTGCTTTGCCTTTGCTGAACAAGAAAAGTAAAAACAAGATATTTGTATTTTTTATTTAGAAATTTGTTTGATATCAGCACATTAGTGCAGAGATTGCTGTGAGTACACTGAGCCCTCTCAATCCAAAATTCTAATACAATCGAGCCCTCTGAATCCAAAATTCTAATTCCTAGTTGATTAATTAGTAATTACATTTGAACAGTGGATGGTAAGGGTTTAAGGCTTCTAAACTTGGATTGGACGATCGTTTTCCATAGAAGGTAAGGTTTTTTCTTCACTACGCTGTTTCTTTTTCTTTTCTTTTTTTACCCTGGTCCAAAACGACGTCATTTTGGCCAGGGCTTTAAAAAAAAAAAAAAAAAAAAAATTGCGTAGTGCACTGTTGGCACAGTAAACTAAAAAAACCTCTTTGAGGCATTAGGACGAGCACATGGCAGGCGCACTAGCAGAGGGGCAGTTTCCAGCTTCTTCCATGGCTTTTCCTGCAAGGGGAGGTGCAACTGCAACTTCACCTCCTTGTTCTTTTGTGGGTCCCCCACTTTGCTACCACTTATTATTGATAAAAAGCTCTAATTCAAGTAATTTTTTAACTCTAAAACTTTAATTGATGATAACGTTAGTTGAAATTTATAATGAGTTATTTGATGAATATTGACTGATGTGATTTTCATCTAAAAAAAGTTTCAAAACTTTTACACCATGACCCGTTGAGGTAACAATCCTAGATCTGCCACTGGCCAGATTCTTTAAAATTGTGTCATAAACTTTTTGTATGTTGTTAAGATGAGTGTACCGAATTTATAGAAATATAATGAGATTTGCATTTCCCCTAGCAGCAGTAAATAGTATGGTGCAACTTTCTTTCGTTTAAAGTGTCTTATTTATGTATTTTTTCTGAAAGTTTGCTGCCATTTAAACTTAGAGAGAAAATGCAAAAGGAAAGGAAAATGTCAAGAGAGAGGCTCAGCGAAAATGGCTTTACAGCGAGCCTTCCAGATGCTCCACATAACGAAGGACATCACGGTAACCACACGATTAACCTCATCCTTTGATGAGCCAGGGAGCGATATTAAGGATAATATCCAGCGGTCAAGGCTTGTCACTTGTTGCCTATCCCCAACGTACCCCAGCGGGCTTCCGAACCAAACTCCAACCACCCATGGGCACGTAAGGAGGGCATGCTCAACCGTTTCAGAATTTACCTCACAAATAGGACAGATGGAGGAGCAGGGGATACGGCGGCTAGCTAAGTTGGCTTTTGTTGCCACAGAGTTTCTCACAGCGCGCCACAGGAAGTGTCTAATTTTTGGTAGAGTTTTAGCGTGCCAAATCACTTTCCATATCTTCTTTTCCACCACTCGGGAACCAGATGGTCTACCCACATTGCTCAGGTTTGTCAGATTACGTGAGAAATGATAGCCAGACTTGACAGAGTATTGCCCATGTTTATTGAGAGGCCAGATAACTCGGTCCATACCTGCACTACTGCCAATCGGGGTGGAGCAAATTGCAGCTTCAACTCTTGGGGAAATAAGGTGCCTAATCGAGTCTAGATTCCAAGACCTTGTATCAGGATCAATAATTGTTGCTACCCGCACCTCTTTGCACATTTCGTTATTTATAGGGCATAGCGGCAGATTAACTATGGAAGGATGAAGCCAGCGATCATGCC